TCGAACCTAAGACCTCTCAATTATCAATAAAGATGAATACTATTAGACTATAATATTAAGTGGCCACATTTTAATAAGTTCTATACTTTTGGGCAATTAGCTAAAATAAACATATTTTGATATTTAGAACAAAAATGATCAATGTTTATAAAGTAGTTATATAATCATTGTGTTGTCGTTATGTCATCTTTTGTATCGTCATTATTAAAAAATAATTATTTTTGTAAACCAAATATCAAAATATATTTATTATATTTTCCTATATTTTTTGCAAGTGGACTTATGACCCAACTATTTTTGCTAGTGGGTATATTCTTGAATAATTTAAAGGCGTCTGTAGTTAAATGGTTAAAAGTACTTATTTATGCATTCAGATTCCTTCACCATATAGCTTATATCAAACAAAATAAAAAATCCATGTAAGAGAATTCGAAATCGGATACAAAGCTAAGGATACTGTGGGGCCAAAAATAATCAAGAGACAACACGTGGATTTTTAGGTGAAGATGACAAAATTACTCTCGAGACACACCAGGTTTCCTACACACGAGCAGTGGAGAGTCATCCATCAACCGAGTCAAGAGTGCCCAAAATAGGTAACAAGTTCAAATTTATCTCATCTATCTTTACTCCATATCCTCTACAAGGAAATCATTCCATAACCTTCAAAACCTTCCATATAAATTAAATTAATTAGGCTAATTAATGGATTAATTCCTAATTAATCCATTAATCACCAAATTAACCACCATTACACCCCAAAAAACATCCAAGGGCTGGCCATGCTCTATAAATAGGACTCCATTTTATTTGAAAGACTAGTTCCACACTCTTGCAAAACTCCTAAAAACTCTCCAAACACTTTTCTCTCTAAATTTTAACTTTGGCATCGGAGGTTCTTCGGCCAAAGTCTCCCCTTCATCGTGAGCGTGTGAGACTCTTGACCTTGACCTAAGGTGTTAATTATTTTGTAGGTACAATTTCATCTAAGAAGAAGAATGCGAAAATTTACATCCACACACACTGCCTTTGAATAACTTGTTGCGTTTGAAGAAAACAAACTACAAGCAGCCCATTTCTAGGTGTCATAAAATGGTTCCTTGACCAAAGTCAAAATGTATGGGCAAGTCAACTGCATGGAAACAAATTTAATGTTTTGATTGCATCCTATATACACGTCGCAGAATCGAGTGGTATAGTAATGTTACACTGTGGTTAAGAGTGATGAGCAAAAACATTCTAGAAATGTTTTAGGTACTACAGTTCTTGTTAACAGATAAACAAAAGATATCAAACCTAACAGCGAAAGGCTCATACAGCTTAGGACAACCATACAATTGTACCAATCTAGATAGGAGATTCTTCAAGCAGATTGACATTTTCTTTTAGTAAACAAATTTTTTATTCAAGGAATTAAGCAATAGTTTTGACAAATCTCTTCAAAAGATTATCAATCATGTTGGTTTTTTTATAATTACTTGAAGAGCACTCTTGTCTCCAATTTGCTAAAACATGTTATGTGTAAGTTCTTACGTGAAGTCTTTGAGTGTGCAAAAATATAAGTACGGGATTGTTTAACAGTAAGATTTTTAGCGATAATTTAACTTTGGTAAAGTTTCAATTTTGTGGCCACGACAAAAGAACATGATCACCTTAAGTAGGAGTACATTTTTATGCATAGCGACAATGCATTTCGTTACAAAATCAACCTGTCAAGTAACAAATGTGAGGCATGGCACACATTTCAGCATGATATTAGTTGAATATGCATTTTTTAGATGTGGAGAATTGAGAGAAAGTTTAATTTGCCTTCGAAATCCCTTACTTGAATCTAATAAAATTGTACGTACGGGCAGATATATACGATGTTGCAGCATTATCTGTTTCAGGGGTCTATGGTTTTATTACTATGTTCACTAATTAGTCATCTTATCTCGAGCTTCCTCAGGAGGCTTGGTCCTTTTTGCCATTTTGGACGTGATTCTCTCTCTCTCACACAGTGGTACCTCAATAATTATCCGATTAGATTGTGAATTTGAATTAGGCATCCAAACATTAATCAAATTGTTAATGGTTCAGATTCATGGTTTGGCACGAGATTACTTTTGTATAGTAAGAACGAACATCCACACAAAATGAATGTGTATAACTCATTTGTACGTGCAAAATATGTGACAAAGTTGATATTGGGAATCATAGCGTCGGCCACAGGCACTGCTGGAAGTGTTGCATATATCTTGCTAAGGGGCAATGAAGAATTTAGATGGCCGGATTCCTGCTATGCTTACAACAAATTCTGTCGACATATCAGGGTCTCCGTAGTTGCCTCCACTTTGCTCGTCTTGCTTCTCTGGACCTCTGTCATCACTCTTTACAAAAGGATCTCCTCCAAACTGATCAGTCCGCCACCACCATCTCAATTAGTACCAGAGACACCTAACTAACGCTTTAGAAACATTTTCTGTACGTATGTATGTATATATATGTGTGTTGTATGCGCGCGCCTGAGTAATGTGATCCAAAAATCCTTTGTTGATTGGGGCGTGTAGTTTGTAATTGTAAAAAACATTTTCAGGGAATTTGGAATTCATGAGGCTCTTTCTTCCTTCGTATGCAGTATTCATCTTTAAGGAAATTTAAATTCATCACTTCCTTCAATAAAATGGAGACCGTATACTATTGGGTAAAGTCCTTACATACCATCACAAAAGTGCATGAAGGGTCGGTAACCACTACTATACATATCTCTATAATGACTAAATGAGTACGATCCTTTTGGTTGAACCATAGACACTTTAAGATTCATTTCTAAATCTTCACTCATTTCGATTCAAGATTAGAAGTAGATAAATAAACACGTCTCATTACATCTTAATTAGAAACGTCCACAACGATTGAGAAGAAATTCCAAAACAAGATCGAAGAAGCCTATAAATTGTATTCCCATAAAGTGAAAGAATAATTCATGAGATGCATAATCACTTATTTAGTGATAGCAGAAGTCATGTTTACGTAACTCAATAATAAGCACCCATTTCGTTCAACCAACACTAGGTAAACTACTTTTCAGACACAAAAAGGATAAGCTTCATATTTACTCCTCCACCAATCTTCACAATAACGTGTGCGTCCAGAGATGAATATTATATTATTATAATTAATCAATGATTTCCTTATCTTCTTATTGCAGTGAATTTCTGGAAGGTCTCTCACTTGAACTTGAATGGTTTCAAGCAGGTGATGTATACAGATTACAGTACAAAAGAAAAAGTTGCCCACTTTCTTGCGAGAGACGCACAAAATACTTAATATATTTTTTTTCTTCCAATCAGTTGCGTTGATTAAAGAATTAAACGAAAAAAAGAAAGAGACATATGCCTTGGTTTTACGTGAGATCCGCCCATGGTATCAGTATTTGTATTCTGCTTGGTTGATCCGAAACAGAAAAAAAGAAACAAAAGCAGAATTAATTAGCTTAAACTTAATTTAATATCTTAATCATTATTAGTGCATAATCACAGCTAATATACGGGTTAGGATGGATAAAGAGAGAGAATACTGATAATTAATTAGGGTAATCATGTTGTTGATGCCCCGGCTTCTTTTAGTGCGGCTGGTAGTCCTATTATGGGGGTCCATTGTTTCAGATTTTGCAATAGTCGCCATCCTAGTGACCGTGAGTTTCATCCTATTTTTTGTTTTGGTTGATGTTTCTTTGTTTTTACTCTTTGCAGGTTTATGTTTCGTCCCCCGCTTGTATTCTTATATTTTCATATTTTTTTTATTTAGTAAATTTTGGAGATAGGGAATGGGAGGTCGTTCTATCGGGGAGTTAGCCCTTTCTAATAACTCCGAACGTGAAGAAAGTAGCATACTTGAAGCTGAAGGCTAATCTTGGGATCTTGGTTTTTTCTATCCGTCTTGTGCGGGGTTTAGTGGGTAAGGCTTTTACTATTGTAGTCCAATGACTAAGTTTTATGTGTAGTTCGACTTGCTCGATTCATTATCATCCTTTCATTAAAATAAAAAAGTTTATAGAGATTGGGACAAGAATACGCAAATTGTGTGCTTGATGTGACATTGAACCACAAAATTAAACTATGATATAATACAATTGTAATTTGTCAAGGTTAGACGATAAATATGGGGTTTGGAAAGTACTTAACTTAGAATTGTTTGTTTTCACAGGTACCAAATTGGACAATTATAACAAAACTATGCAGACCTTTTAAACCAGAATTAATTACGGCGCAAGCTGTTTTATTCAGCAGATTCACAAGGCCATTTTATGTTATACAAGCATACATGGGAGAGGGAATAACCACATGCTCCTGTGCAAGATATGTATGCGCACGCGCACACACATATGTATAAGTTCTTAATTAAGCACTTTGAAATGTAAGGAGTTTGTAACGCAGTTAGTTAAGAGTATTCACTCTTGCATCTAAAATCCTTATTCGATTTTCCTCCTCTTAATATTGTTGTTTAAAAACCGCTAAGCTACAAGCACGACCACGTACTAATAGAAGTCTCATGTTTCTTGCCCCAGAAGACATAGCTGTGACAACTAGCACTATTGCATTCTAAACCCAATTAATAGTGGAACTTACAAATTATAACCCTATAACAAATGCTATTTAGCTTCCTATTACCCCAGTCCATTTCTGATCTTTCTCCTCTGAGATAGAGACTAAATGGTATCATTTTCTCTGGATTATTCTAAAATAATGATTTATTGAGTGACATTTAGGAGAGAAAATAAAACAAGGAAGTCTATGGTGTATAAAATGATGATCAAACGGTACACACCCAACCAACTAAACCCTTTCCATATTAATTACTTGGCGTAAACGAAACTTCAACCAAGTTTGGATTTATACCATTTTAGTGTGCCCCAAACATCATATAATTATACATGTTCATAGTGCAATATCTTTTCACCACCACCATCTACTACTACGTACAAGTACTACACTCGGACTTCTGCTTAACCAACTTATTCAAGCACTAGATACCAGCAGCTTCCATGGAAACCAAGGATAAGCCAGCTGGTCCGGAAGTCCCGCTGCCATCAAAGGAGGAGTCCGAAGTCCCACCGCCATCAAAGGAGGAGCCCGAAGCCACGCCTCCTCCTCCCCCTAAACCCGACTACCTCTTTCTAGTTGATGTGGCTCTCAGGTTCATCGTGTTTGCAGCATCACTGACAAGTGTGTTGGTCATGGTCACCAGCAAGCAAACAGTATACCGGAGGTCCTTTCCCAGTTCGGGCCAAGTTTAATCACTCTCCCGCCTTCATGTGAGTAACTTCAAGCACCCAAACATGCACATATAATTTAGTAAAATAACGTATACACTGTAACACACACAGAGACATATATATATATATATATATATATAATGTATATTTTTACAGATTAGGGTTTCAAGGTGTTTGATTACTCTTCTTTGGCACAGAAACACTAATTCTGTTAAAAGTTAAACAAATACTCTGAGGAGAATCCGATAAGCAAAATTTCTTGATAGACAAGGAATAACTAAAATTTTCTTTCGTGTTATTGTCTTCTGATCAGATATGATACCTACTATTTTCTAACTTTTTTCTACAACTCTGAATAGTATTACGACGAATCCAGGTTTAAGATTAATCGACTTTTATCTCCATACTTGTTTTAACCAGCTTAACTAGTGGAAAGATTTCATGTTAGCTCTTTTAGTTTCGAATTAATCTAGTTAATCTTTACTTTTCGTTCCTTTAACATGGATTCCATCTAATCTTCTTTATGCGTGCAAAAGAAACAATTTTTCAGAAAGTAGATCTGATTTTAATCTTTAATTACTGTACAAATGATCTCAGCCTTGCCTCCTAATCTGCTTTAATCTAAAATTAATACTCTTTTCTTTTTATTGTTTATACATACATACATACATATATATATATATATAGATACATATATATATATATATGTATCTATATATATATGTATCTGCTTAGACTTGGAGCGCGCAGAGTTTTTACACTCCTGAGATGGATTACATAAAATGGAGATGCCTAGTTGACAGTGTTTTAAATTCATTTTTAGCTTTCAATTAACATCACATAATTGATTTAATACACTGCCACTGTACCATTTTCCTCGAGGCTTGATTATTAAATGGCATCAATGTTGAAGTTGGAACCCTATGCATCTCACTCCCTCACCCCACAATACAATTTTCTAATAACCCTAAGGATAGCATGGACCCACAATGCAACATTTTTAGCCAAAATAGTCTTTGAGACTGGACATAACTTCTCACTTTGATCTTTAAAATTTGAAATCGATAGAAGTGATCCCTGAGTTTGTCCTACTATTAATCATTTTGGTCCTTTGGTGAAAAATTATGTTAAATAAGAACTAAAATGACAAAAATACCTTTAATTTAACAAACAATGGGCCAAAATGATTTTATAAAAATTGAGTGTATTTTTATTATTTTATGCTTACTTAACAGAGATTTTTTCATGGAATGACCAAAACATAGATTTTTGTCAGAAAGACCAAAATGATTGACGGTGAACAAACTCAAAGATCAATTCTATCGATTTTAAATCGTAGAAACCAAAGAGAGGAGTTATTCAATCTCAGAGACCATTTTAGCTAAAAAGCCAAAAAAAAACTAAATCATCTATTTCTGTTTCACAAGGAGAAAACATTGCATTATTTGCCTACAACCACAGTCAATCATGTGGCAAACATAGACTATCATTATCCTAATACAGGTACGGCCCACCTGTATTAAAAAGTATGTCAATAAGTGTGTTTAATGGGTGGATATTAGACCGACAAAAAACTCAAGAAGGTTTAATGTCTCTTGTTTCAGATACTTTGTGGTGGCTCTATCAGTTGCTGGCCTCTATGCTCTTCTTACAACACTAGCATCCATTTCAGTCATCTGGAAGCCAATTTGCCCACCAAAGTTGTTGCTCCATTTTGTATTTCTTGATGTAGTAAGTTGTGTTCTGTTCTCTAATTTGTACCAACAATTACAATACAAACATCGGACACACGATATTGACAAACTATATATGTGAAATGCCCTATTATGCAGCTGATACTGGGTTTAGGTCGCCTCAGCCACCGGTACAGCCGGGGGTGTTGCATATATCGGATACAAGGGTAATGAACATATGATGTGGCAGAAGGTGTGCTCTGTTTTCGACAAGTATTGTAAGCATATAGTAGGCGCCCTCGCTACCTCGCTGTTTGCCTCAGTTTTGCTGGTTCTTCTGGTCTGGCTCTCCACTTTCACCCTCCACAAAAAAATTCGCCAGTAGAGTTTGTGAAGATTGAAGAACATAACGAAATGTATTAGAATCCTACCCACAGGATGCCTTCAACTAGTGTGTGTGAGCGCTCACTTGCATGTATTATCGAATATCTTAGTGTTTTCTGTTTAGAGGTTCTTTCATTGTGTAAATGTTGTCTGGTATGCTATATCTATCTTGTCCATTTGGAAGCTTAGTATTCGGATTTCTTATGTTACAGGTTCTTTTGGTTTGTAAACGTTATCTACTTGCATCTGAGGCATTGATTCGTCTTGTACCATTTCCTTCAAGGGTTTTCTAAGTGTGAATGTATGCAAAATTAGTTTCTGTTACAAAGGAATTACAACATGATTTCCATCTTCTTCAATATGCAAAAGAACGCGAATGCAAATGTATGTAACGACATTTGAGTTTTTGAACTGCATTGGATACGCTATATCAGGAAGGAACCCACACAACCAACTAAGATTCGGTTGAAAAATGAAGTATAAACCGAAGAACGGTGATTACAGGTCGTAACTTGCAATGCAAGTCATCAAAATCTAACAAGTGATCACATTATCATCTTAAACAACCAATCTGATGATATATTGATATAACTGAAGTATCAGTTAAGTATCTAGCAGCGATGGTAGAAAAAAGACTGCTTGTCACCGATACGAAATACAGTTTGGTGTACAGATGAGAAACTGCGTACCTGAAAGCAGACTGTTGTACAAAACTGGTTGAACCAATTGATAAATTGAATGTACAAACTTTCTAATGACAGCATGAATTCTTAGAAAATCGTTTGTTCGCCTAATTCCTGACCGGCCATCCCCTCCCTCAGCACAGTCTCAAAGAATTCTTCCAACGTGTCTTTGCCATAACTCGGTGTTTTCTCAGCATTATATTCTCCAGTCTCAGGATCCAAAACCAACATACTCTCAGCTGCATAATACCTTCCAATTTTCCCAAACTCAGCAGTATCTTCCATTGAAGGAAAGATCTTTACAAGGAAATCAAGAACCCCGATGGCAAAGTCCATAATTTCAATAGGCACCTTCAGGAACTTGGGTTCCCTCCCCACAAGTCTAAACAACAACTCCCCTTGCTCCAGTGGTGTCAACGCCTTCCCCGGTCCTCCAATGGGCAAAACCTGGTTAATCTTGTTCTCACTCAACACGCAATCTGCAATAAATGAAGCCAAATCCGCCTCGCTGATTGGCTTGCAAGCACACAACTTCCCATCCCCAAACATCACATAAGGCTTGCCATCTTTCACCAACTCAACCTGACCCCCCAAACTCTTAAAAAACGCGGTCGGCCTCACAATGCTATAACTAAAACCATTATCCTCCTCAGCTTCTCTGATCAACTCCGACTCGAATTTCAGCTTTGCACGCTGAAACTCAAGAAGGGGCTTCTGCACACAAATTGCAGACAGCAACACAAAATGTGAAGCCCCACGCTTCCTACCAGCAACAAGACTATTTTTCGTGGCCTCGTAATCGATCTTCCAAGAGTCCTTCACACCCCCAGAACGGCTAGCAAGGCATGAAACAACAACATCAATCGAAACCCCCAAATTTTCCAAACATTTCTCCAAAACACCCAAATCAGTCACATCCGAAAAGCACACATTTGCACCTTTCAACTCCCTCAAAGTCTCATCCTTGCTAACTTTACCCCTGATTCCACTCTTCTCCCTAGCAATGGCTATAACATTGAACTCTCTGCTGACCAACTCCTTGACAACAAATTTCCCAATGTACCCAGTTGCACCCACCACCAAAATGTTGATGTCTTTTGGGTTTTTGCCACGGAACGAGGGTGGATTCGTGATTTCAGCAACTGGGTTTGATGAAGCTGATATCGGTTTTAATCTATCTTTTATAAAATTCAAAGTTTCATGCAAGTTTAGAGGAGAAGATGATGAAAAAGCAGAAGGAACAGAGCTTACCCTTGCAGGTTTGGTTAGGGAAGTGAGAAGATAAAGGGGTTATGAAGCTTTGGTTCTTTGCGGCATGGAGATTGAATGCAAGGGAGGAGAAGCACAGTGACATTGTTTTTCTGGTTGGAGTTGAAGAAAGCTGATGGGGGAGAAGGAGCTTGTGGTTGGAAACTTGGAGTTCAGTGGAATTCCATGGCTGTTTTTGGAGGTTAAGCTCTATCGCTGGAGGATCCAAATGATAGGTGGATATAAAAGATGACGTGTGACTATAAAGCAATGAACTATTAGAGAGGGCTGGGTTGGGCTGGTTTGGTAACCGAACCAAAAGGCCTAAACTAGTTTCCAATCGACGGGCCTCGGCCCTTGGAATGGACATTGAACCGGTTGCCATCGGTCATTGAATTTGAATCGATCCTTTTGGCCAATTGAGTTTTGTAGAGAAAAGTTTTAGCAATACGCCTGAATTTTAGGTTGTGTTCTACTTTGCCCAGTAAACTTTCAATTTGATTATATGTTCAATTTGTGCCATTGAGCGACTGAAAGATAAAGAAATAATATATTCAAGATAATTATGTACTTACAAACTGCCTTCTTAATTTATTCTATTTCATCAGATTCGGGATGTACATTGTTCCTGTTGAAATTAACAAAAATTTGACAAAATTAACAACTAAGGAGGCATGAACCACCACGGGGTGACTAGTAGTTAAGGACGAATTGTAGACTCGTATTTCACATGACACATCCTAATCTTGGTGTTGGTGAATCACACGATGATGGTTAGGGGAAGGTTGAAATGCTTCTGTGAGTCTTCTGGACCCTCAGAAGAGTGGACTGTCGTTACGAAGCCATCAGTTGGTCCTAGTTTAAAAAATAAATTTAAAAAAAATCAACTAAGGGGGGCATGGGCATGAATTGAAAGTTTAGAGGGTAAAATAGTATGAGGCTAAGAAATTTTCCTTCTTATAAATAGACGAGAAAAAAAAAATCATTGAAGCTATGTAGTAAAAATTAGGGTCCTTTTTTTTTTGCACTCTAAAATAAATTTGCACTCATCGTATTTTAGTTTCCCTTATTAATTATATGGTGGAATCACCTCAATTCTTCGTTGTATCACAATAGGATTTTCTTTATTTGAAAACTCAACAAACACATGTTTTCACGGGATCCAATAAGTGTTATTACATGTTATTCCACATTGAAAGACCAATAAGCCTTGTATATCCTTATATAAGTTAAACTAATCACCTCATTGTCTATCAAATTTAGAGTAAAACCTCAACTTTCTTATGCCAGTTTATGCAGATAGTTGAGCTATATCATGTCCACATCAACTTGCTCTCAGCAATCTTTATTAGGGTGCATAATAAGTGAATTATTCACCAACGAAAGCTACTCGTATCCAACTTTTCTCTTGTAATTAATAAAATCAGTGCGGTTTGGGTCATTACCAAGGAAACAAATAAAAGTGGGTTCAAGGTGTCAATTTCATACAATGAACGCATACCAACTGAATCCACACGCATTTCCTTGACTAATTGGTGCATTCAAACATAGGTTTTTTGTTTTAGTTTAAGATTCACACATAGGCTTACTTTTAGGAGCAAAGTTTTTCTTAGTCAGCTAAGGAAATTTAAAGGAAGTTTCTCTGGCAAAGCAAAGTCAGGCAAGGAAATTTAATGGAAGTTTCTCTGGCAATGGAAATTTAGAACCAACCATTTGAAATATTGACACTAGGTAGAAATTTTTTAGTCTGATCAGAACGCGGTCTGGTATACCAAGTATAATAATATAATTGGTTGAAATTTTTTTTTCAAGTTTTCAACCAATTGTATTATTACACTTGGTATAAGGGCTGTATTCCCGGCATATTAAAAAAGCTCTCCTATATAGGGATTGTTTATCCTTCCTTTTTTTTTTTTTTTTAAGAAGTTCTTTTAAAGAAATTGTATTTTGCACTGTAAAAAGTCATCATGCATTTCTATCTTCTTTTTTTTTTTTTATTAGAAAGGAGTGCATGCTGAATCGTTCAGAATGTCAATAACAACTCCATTTTTACAATGTTATTTGTAAATATTACAATAGTTCCTACTAATTTGTCATTCATTTGGTTAATATATATTTGATTAGCAGCGCTCCCAAGTTTTTTTTTTCATAAAAGCAAAATCAGCCAAAACAAAAAAAAACAAACCAAACCAAACCAAATCAAACCAAAATATAAAAAGTGAAATAAACATCTGAGTATTGATTTGAAGTTGGAATCATAGATAAACTTGGCGCTTGGGATTGTACATATGTACATGAAAACATAAGCAAAATAGTTCTTGTAATTTATTTGGATTTTCGCTTCCGCCCGTTTGTAAGTTTTTTGTAACACTTTCGTCTTTGTAATTCATTAACAACGTTAGTCAAATGTATTGAATACGAAAAATGACTTTTCGACTTGGAACTTTATGTGAATGAAAACAGATGAAAATTGAACTAAGTTGACGTATTAAACAAAGGCAAAACAAAACGAATAATAAGGACAAAATGTAAGGAAAACTCCAAATAAGCTACATCAACTAGTGATGCAATTTGAATGCGGATCCCCTTTGTAAGGATTTCGGATATCCTTTGATCGTATATTGTGCGGTTAGAAATCAATTTAAAATTAATCATAAATAGTACATAACGAAAACTGACCGCACGATTTACAATGAATGAATACGATTAAAGAATCATTTGGATCCTCACAAAGAGGATCCTCATTCGTGCAATTTTGAGAGAGAGAGAGAGAGAGAGAGAGAGAGAGAGGCAGAAACTAAATAAACATAAATGGATGAGATTATTATCTGTGGTTACAATTGGAAAAGAGCTCATAATTCCGACACCTTGTCACCGATATCACTTAATAAATCTTACAACAAATTTAAACAACACTATGATTCATTAAAAACATGATTATTAAATTATTACCAGCACCTCAATGCAGAAAAAATGAGAAAAATTACTGAGAGAGGAGAGGAGAGGAGAGGAGAGGAGAGAAGAGATCAATATACGTGTGGCATGTCTGGAGAACTCAAAGATGTCAAAATTCAATAGCAGCGGTATACGGCAACGACGCCGCCACGCCGCGGCGGTGGAGAGAAAATAGTCATGATGACAAGAGCTACGACAATCACCAACAGAAGTGCCGTGAGACTAAGACCACCTTCGTCGTCTTCAGAGCAGCAATACTTCCCCATCACCTGATAGCTTGAAAGCTTGAAAGGTTTTGGAAATGGAGAACGAGATTACTTGAGAGGGAATGAATGAATGAATAATTTGATGAGCGATTTGGTTTATAAAAGTAGGAAGTCAAGTTGACTTGAATTGTTTATTAGCAGTTGCCTCAAAGTCGTTAAGTCGTGTTTTATATGATTTTA